TCAAAAAAAACCCCCCCCCCCCCAAAAAAAAAAATGCAATACATATGTGGAATAGAAACACATTTTGATTTTTGTCTCGAACAATGCTGCAAGCAAAGAAAAATATGTCGATCTGCTAGAAACCAATCTAACCCAAACTTCCTGTGTGCGCCGACAACACGGGGGCAAATCAAAAACCATTTGTTGCACGGATGGGAGACAGATTCCTAATGAGTGCTTATGATAGTATATATAAATTCTATGAATTCCAGGGACTGCACCTCTGCTGCACTGAAATCCTAACCAGGATAACAGCTCTGCCCTGTTCTCTTTTCTTGGGCTAAAGAACATGTTCCTCTCTTCATATCTCTGACATATGCGAGAAGTGTTCTGTGGGGCAGGGATGATAACATGGCGTTTAAACACGTAGTTAGGTTTCTTACAGATCAATAGACACATGCTTTACTTGTATGGTTTTTAAAGAGGGAAAAGATTATTATTACTATACAGGATTTATATAGCGCCAACAATTTGCGCAGCGCTTTACAATATAAGGAACACATTACTATCATAATACAATTCAAGACAAGATGGTAAGGAGGGCCCTGTCCCTGAGGGCTTACAATCTAAAAGGGAGGGGGAAGTGATACATGAGGAGGTAGCTGTGTGGGGATGAATTGTTTGAGAATGTGATAGTTCAGTGGTTGGGTTGAGGTAGGATAGGCTTCCTTGAAGAGATGTGGTAGACAGACAGACAGGTTGAGGTAGAGAGATCCATAGGATGGGAGAGGCCCTAGTGAAGTTCTGGAGGCGAGCATGGGAGGAGTTGACGGGGAGCTGGAAAGCAGGAGGTCTTTGGAAAAGTGGACGGGACGATTAGGGTGATACTTCGAGACAAGGCTTGAGATATATCTGGGGGCAGAGTTGTGGATGGCTTTATAAGTGATTCATATTTTAAATTGTATTTGGGCTATTGGAAGCCAGTGCAGGGATTGGCAGAGGGGGGTTGCAGACACTGAGTGATTGGTTAGGTGAATGAGTCTAGCAGCTGCATTCATGATAGACTGAAGGGGGATAGCCTGTGTAGAGGTAGGCCAATGAGGAGGGAGTTACAATAGTCAAGATGAGATATAACAAGTGAGTGGATGAGTAATTTTACTGTCTCATTGGTGAGGAAGGGGCGTATTTTGGAGATGTTACAAAAGGTGAAGGCGGCAGGATTTGGATAGTGATTGGATGTGGGGAAGAAAGGTGAGGTCCGAGGGAAATGTGCATGTATTTCACAAATGTACCGCATATGTTTTTTTAAATTTTATTTTGCTATTACATACACTTTCTAACAGGAGAACACGTACATTGTAAATACTTACGTGCATGAGCACATATGTATCCACAATGCAAAGCAACCACAGACATGTGGAAGAAGCATGTCAAATATACAATTTCCTGGCTTCAACCCCAACCCATGAAAGCACTGGTTGGAGTATGTCCGGTAATACAATTACCGCACACAAGTGGACCATATAAACTTAGTGACACTAAACTCAGGAGTTAAATCTTAAAATTGCATTCAAAGTACCTTATCTATTAACAAAAATTTTACTTTTGTGTATCCTCAAAACATCTCTGAATTGGTGCCGACACTGTCCTTCTGGAGGGTGGCTACTTTTGTTCTCCATGGTCCCTGTGTGTGTTGTAAAGTGGCCATCACTCCAAACTCGCTCTTGTGATGGACTACAATCTCAATACACACTAGTAAACTAAACGTGAGATTGCAGCCCATCAAGGGAGCGGCATCTTTGTTAATGGTTAAGGTGCTTGAATGCATTTTTAGGATTTAACTCCTAAGTTTAGTGTCACTTTAATTCATTGCTCGCGGGACATAAAAGTGATATGACATACGTTTTAAAAAGGTACATGTACAAATAATACACCAGTTGTCTAAAATCTGCCATGTCAGTAGGATTAAATGGCAATCAACCAGTCTATGAGCATCTTAAATAACCTCAGGTGAATTCTATATGAACATTTTTGGAGATTCTGCTTTCTTCTGCCAGCAGAGCAATAACAGCTGTTGGGCACCGGTAATTGTCATATACGGTGTATTTCATGGTCTTTGCTACCCATTGTCATATGTTTTTGGACAGCATAAATTATTTAACATTGCTGGTTGAGGAAGTAGCACAATGCTAAATATCGAAGGGCAGGTCTAAAATGAAAAGTTTTATGATGTTTTGGGGGCAAAAAATTATTTCATGATTTTAAAGCTTGCAAAAAAACAACAACTTTATGTGGTAGTCACTTTGGTCATTCAAATGAGAGCATTCACTGTGAAATGTGTAAAACGTGCTCTGTTGGATAACAATCTCAAAAGTCACATTCAGGACTTAAAAATGCAAACATGTGTAGACGTTATATAAGCTCTGCAGACAGATCATACAGTTAGTGCTAGCACTGCAATAGCCTGCAGTTCAGCTCCAAGTATGAAGTATCATTATTAAGTACTTGAAGTCTAGCTACTTCTATTTTAGGTCCCCAGTGCCTTAAACTGTCTGCAAAAGATGTCCTAGCAACTACTGCCTAAATCTTTATAACTGAACTGCATTTTCTCAGATAAAGGGGGGGTAGTAGTAGTAAACTGGCATTTTAAAAAGCAGGTTTCCTTACAGACAGAGACTTGAGACTGGGAAGACCATTACAGGACTCCCAAAGGTCTGCTGAACTAGAGGGGGGCTAAATCCTAGTCCGTAAATTAAGCGAGTCAGTTCACCCAAAACTCATTTCTTGCCGTCACAAGTATGTTACATCACCCACAGCTTCCAATATCAGTTGAGCTGGCTGTAGACATTACTGACTAGTCTTTGATGTATGCATGGGCATCTCACAATCTTTGGAATTCATGCAGATTGCTATTAGACAATATTTATCGGTCTCCTGTCTATGAAACAAATGGCGCAAATTATGACAGATTTGTGTAACTGTAAGTACTGTACAGTGTATATGAATCTGTGGCAGAATTTTGTCTAGCTCCTCGTTGCAGAGACAAATGAAACGGGACAAATTCCGCCAAGTCAACCAGCACAATCAAGAAGAAGAGTCTACTCTTGGCTCAGGGACAGCAACTGCAGACATAATAGACCCATATACCGGGGTTGAGAGGTCGCCCGAGACACCGCGGAGCCCTGGCCATTTCATCTACAGATAGTGAACAACCCACAGAGAATCCATCTACAGACAGCGACCTTCTACTGGTATTTTACAACCAGGGGATACAATACTTCCTTTTCACTTGGCAGGAGACGCAGATGGCCCCGGCGGATCCGGAAGACCAGGAGGCGTCCAAACAAGAGCATATCGTGGGAAACAGAACAGGAGAACCCGGTGATTAATCTCTCATCCAGAATAATAATCGAGCAGTGAGTGCCGTCTCTTATCCAAAGGCCTTCCGTTTTCTCCCACTGAGAAATTTGACCCATTCGGGTTTGAAGTGGAAGTATTCAGATACGAAAAGGTCACTCAAGCTGAAACAAAATGCCTGCTGACCATGCTGCCAGCCCCATACCCACTCAAGAGCAAGTTCATACCACCTGGCATCTTCGACTCGATCGACAGCTATACCAGGACTCTTAAACATGATGTACTTACTTCTGCCTCCAAATGCAGGGTACATGCAAACCTCAGCGAGGAGGAATTTGTTGCCCTTAAGGAGCTCAAACAAGACACATCGATTATAATCAAGCCAGCTGACAAAGGTGGAGAGATTGTGGTCATGGACTACAACAACTACAGAGAAGGTATGTGGTTACTACTGAGTGATGAAACCAGTTGCAAGGCTGTAACTATGGATATCATGCACATGGTGTTGCATGAACTTAAAAATCTGGTCAGCATGGGCACCACTAAAGGGTGGATTGAGGAGTAAGCCATGTGAGGTTATTAGTTGACCAAGGGAGGAGGTGTAGATGGAGAAGAGGAGGGGTCCAAGGACAGAGCCTTGGGGGACCCCTACAGAAAGAGGGAGAGAAGGGGAGGAGTTAGAATTGTAGGTGACACTGAAGAAGCGTGTAGATAAGTAGGATGAAAACCATGAGAGAGCAGAGTCTTGTAGGCCAAGCGAGTGGAGTTTTTTGAGGAGCAGCGGGTGGTCAACAGTGTCAAAAGCAGCAGAGAGGTCTAATAGCAAGAGTAAGGAATAGTGGCCGTTGTTTTTAGCGGTTATTAGGTCATTGGTGAGTTTTAGGAGGGCGGTTTCAGTGGAGTGTTTGGGGCGAAAGCCGGACTGAAAGGGGTCCAAAAGGTTGTTATTAGCGAGGTGGCAACTCAGGCGGTTGTAGATGAGGCGTTCTAGGAGTTTAGAGGTGAATGGGAGTAAGGAGATAGGTCTGAAATTTAGGGCTGCAACAACTAATCGACATAATCGATTATTGAAAAAGTTGTCAACTTTTTCAATAATCGATTAATCGGCTTCCGATCAGTTGGCCCTGTTCACGGCTCCATAACGCTGTGCGCCACACCTCCTCCCCAACTCACTCACCGCTGCCAGACCCGCCTGCCCGCATCCACGCTCTACGCGCCGCACCTCCTTCCCGCCTCACACTCACCACCAGCCCACATCCACGATCGGCACAGTGACGCGGGGAGATGTAA